CACACACACACACACACACACACACACACACACACACACACACACGTTATCATGTTCTTTCTGCTGTCTTCCATTCATTATGAACCTAATCAGAGCACTGGTATTTAAATTTACTAACAAGCTTTTTAACCAAGTAAATAACTGATAATGAGCTTGAGTAACAAGAAGAAAAAAAGAAGTTATTAATAATAAACTCTTATTTTTATAAAGGTAGCAGCACAGAAGAGCAGGACCTGTTCTTGTACAAATATTGTATTTACTGATCATTTATTATTATTATGTTTACACTGTTAGTGCACAATAGTACTGTTGACACACAAGTAATGTTTGTGTGAAGCACGTGCTGTGATCACGTGCTACTGCAGCTATACAAAGACCATTTACAAAAACAAAAATATATAGAAAAACTGAAAATAAAATACATTTTCACTTTATTAAATACTGTCAAGAAGAAAAATAAATAAATCTAATAAAATGGTTGTATTTGTTAGTGAAGCTGTTTACATTTATTCATTTATTTGTTTATTTATTTATGCAAATGAGAATAAAAACATCCAATCTGATCAGGTTCCTGTGATCCACTGAACTGGACCTGGACCACTCTGTGGAGTCCAGTCCAGACCCGTTCATCTGGACCCCTGACAGGACCCTGCAGGTGGACCAGCTCCTGGATCAGAGCCCGTCTTTGTTTATGGTCTCAGCTGCAGCGGGTTCATTCAGAACCCAGCTCGGTTCTGACCCAGAAAGCCTGGTTTTCACTGCGGGATGATGGGTCTCCGTGGCGGCTGCACGCGGGTCGGAGTTACCGAACCCAGGACCCCGAGCTGAAGCAGTGACCGCCGGGGCTCCGACCACCATCACCTCGGTCCGGTTCTGGTGGAGCAGCCGAACGAACCTGGGTGAAATCTAGCGGATGCATTCATCGCTTCGGTGAAGGTTCTGGACCCGAACACCGGACCGGACCGGACCGGACCGGACCGGACGGGACGGGACGGGACGGGACGGTCCTCTCGGGACTCTGCGGACATCTTGAAGGTTCGTATGTTGGTGTGGGCCTCCGGAGCACCTGGGGGTCCGTAAACAATGAGGCCGTGTGACGGGGGGCTGCAGGCTAACGTTAGCTCACTGACGGATCAATAACACGATGCTAGCAGCATCACAACAACCAGACCACCGTAAAAACCGGTCACCGAGGGTCGTTCCTGTGCTTTACTGCACCGTGTTTACCGGAGAGAACAGCCTGGACTGGGTCTGTCCGCTCCGCTCAGGTGAGCTCCTCTCCCSGGTTCACTGACCCTCTGTGCCCGCCGGGACACGGTGACCGTGCCGCCATGTTGGGAGGGGAAACCCCGGCAGGTTGATGGAGGAAAATAAACACATCAAGGTTATTTTTCACAACCTGTTTGGCTTTGAACTGCAGAAGTTAATTAATTATTATTGATATTTATTATATATTTATTCACCTCAGGACATAAAAACAGTTTGGTTCTTAAGAAAACAGCAGAATTTATTAAATGATAACAAGGAAATTTAAAAATCACATTACTGAGAAGACATTTATTTATGTTAATTATTAATTAAACAATATATAAATAGCCTAACCCAGTGTTTCCCAAACATCAAGGT